TCGAAAGATTCCCTGAACGCAGAAATAAATACACGTAAGTACCTTAATCTGTGGTTACAAAAAAGCGCGCCATTTTAAAGGAGCAGGAAGTAATAACCAAAGACATTAAACTGTTTTTGTTTTGAGCTAATAATAATCTACAAAGATATTTCTTAAAATATATTTGGCGATTGGACATACGATGCATTTGCAAAAGATAAGATCTTTCAATTTAATCAACGCGGGGAAATCTCTGAAAAATATAATCATATAAAAAAGTATTGTTTTTTTTTTATTTATTAAGACTTTGGATATCAAGTCATCAGCCTAAATAATGACAGTTAACAAAAGGCAACGGATTACGAAAAGATATAGTGTTTACATGCGTAGGTAGTAAAATGTAGCTAATATTTGCATTATGTTTTTTTTCTTCTTACATATACCAGTCACGAATACGTACAATAGTGTTGTACTCGTACGTATCCGTGATCCGGCAGCGTTTCTTTGGCAGCACGCCAGACGTGAGTCAGCAGAATACCGTTGCATTGGAGCAGGGAAGCGAAAAAAAAACTGTCGATAAAATGCGATATGTTTTCTTTATAATTGATAATATAAGCTGTCACTGCTGAATTGCTGAACATAGGCTTTCCTTTATTGGGAAATTTTCCTAGCAGTTGCCATGCTTGGCAGGTGGATTGGCAACTGCAGTTAGGCTTCGGTGATGTTGTCCATTACTGAAGCTTCCCCCTATTAGGAAGTTTTGCCAGTAGTTGCCACGTTTGACAGGCAGTTTCGCAACCGCAGTTAAGCTTTGGTGATGTTTTAAGAGGGACGGTGCTGCCTACCCTTCGACCTTTAACTACCCTTAGTCGCCTTTTACGCCACGCACGGAAAAGAAAGAAGTGGCCTATTCTATGCCGGGAACACAGGGCAATATTCAATTCAATTCCTTTATATAGTTATAAATGTGAAATTAAGTTTGTTATCTCGTATTGGCTCATCCAGTGGTTGTGGGTATACATGTAAGGGGTGGAGAAAGGCATAACCTACTTTTTATGTCAATCATGCGGACGAAGTCGAGGGTAAAGACTTTGCAACACAGGGGGCAAACGAGCATGCGGCTCACCTGATGGTAAGTGACTACCACCGCCCATGATCACCTACAACACCAAAAGCATTGCAGGTTTGCTGCCGGCCTTTTAAAAAGGAATATGCTATTTTCTTGAAGGTTATGTTGTCGTATCGGTACGGAAATACTGCTGCTGGAAGTTGATTCCAAATAGGTTGTGCGTAGAAGAAAGTACCTTGAAAAACGCACGATGAAAGATCGCCACTCGTCCAGATGGTTGGGTTGAAACTTTATGGCGGGTTGTATGGTGGTGAAAGTGTATTAGTTAAATTAAGCACTTCAATAGTTTAACTGATCGTTATGAATACTGACATAAATGTAGTATTTGGAATGTAGATAGAAATAGGTTGCTTTTGAAAATAATTTTTAATGACAAACAAACTGATGTCCAACTAAATGGAAAGTGGTTATCATCGCCTATATATATGCAATTGAATACATTGTGATGCCCACGGTACAAGGAATAGCTAAAAGTAAAGTTTTTCGAATCGGAACTACTAAATGCCATTATAAAATTTTGTCCATTTCATCGATAAGGTCCCACCACTAGAAGAATTGTCTATAATCGACAGACCATAGACCGCAGAGGAGCGTTATCTTCAATGGCCGGTATAGAGTCTTGCAATTTTCTAGGGTTCCTTGCGAAGAATAGGTAGATTATGTGGGACTGTTACATTGTAAGTACAATGGCCTGGGAAAACGGGGGATATTTAGTCCCCGGGTAATTTTTCCTTTATATTCGACTAGTCTTATTGCCCGTTATTGTCCGTATGCGGGCTCTATACTCAAATAGACTCAGAACAAAGCTCTCCTTTTACTCAGCGGGCTAAAAGGAGAGCTTTGTTCTGAGTCTATTTGCGTGATAGAATCCGAAACGAGGATATCTGCAAAAGAACCAAAATAACCGACATAGCCTGAAGGATAAGCAAGCTGAAGTGGCAATAGGCTGGTCACATAGCTCGAAGAACCGACAACCGATGGGGAAAAAAGGTTCTTGAGTGTAATCAATACGAGATAACAAACGCAGTGTAGGACGACCCCCCTTTAGATGGAGTGAAGACCTGACATGCATTGCAGAGAGTCAGTGTATGCAGGTGGTTCAGGACCGTTCTTTATGGCAGTCTATGGGGGAAGCTTATGTCCAGCAGTGGACGGATAGTGGCTGAAATGATGATGATGATTCGACTCGTCTAGTTCCAGGATTTCAAATCTTACGGACTGTTCTTAGAGCACATTTTAGTTCGGCCAATACATGGCCGTGGCAATACATCTGACAATACATGGCTTATAAGAAGGATCTTCCAGAGGAATCTTACCAGAAGGAGACTTTGTACAAAAGTCGATTGCTTGAGTACCTCTGTCCCATTCGTGTTTCAACCGTGTCGCAGTTGTGTTTGCATGGCTGTGTTTCGGTTTGAAGGGTGGGATATGGCAGTGAATTTATGGGGTACAGAGAAATAACACCTGAGTCCTCGGGAATGAAAACGCATGATGGTTATCATTAGTATACTCTGTATACTCTGTTATGTCCATGCTACTGCTCATGTCAATAGGCGACGGTTACCACTTTCCATCAGGTGGGCCGTCAGCTTGTTTGCCATTCTAAGTTGTATATATTGTGGATGGGATCGTTAGTATTGGGGATTATTCCTTAATGGATGATAATGGAATGGTATTCTCGTCTGCGCTATCAGTATACGCTGACGGGGCACCAGTGGTAATAGGTGAGGATGAAACCAGGTCAGTTAACCCATTGTAATGGATGCAATAGGAATTACTCAGGACGGTTTCTAGGGGGAACACGTGAGGGTCGACCTGTCCTTAATTGTCCAATGCTGAACATAGGTCTCACCCATAAAGGGGGTTGATAACTTGTTCTTAGAATGATAACAATAGTTGTCATGCTTGGCAGGTAGGTTGGCAACCGCGGTTAGTTTGACGTTTTAAGAGTGACGGTGCTGCCCATCCTCGAACATTAAATTGAAAATGTAACGCGTCATTATTCGCTTTCATGTCAAAAGACGTATATTTTCTTTTGTATTCAAGAATAGGATTTTTTTTTATTAAATTCCGACAATATCGCGTCCAAATAATCCGAGATGCATTTCAGTATTGCTTACAGTTGCTAAAATACAAAATGCTCGCTGTGTGTTATTTCGTTTCTATATCAAATAAGTAGATTTCACATCTATATTCACGCCAAGTCCCTCCTGGGGTAGACAGAGAGAACTGAGCACAAAAGACTATCTAGACATACTAAGGTTGCTTGGTAAAGACAGCAATTTAGCGTTTATGGTGCCCATTGTTGCCTCTTTATCTTGCTTTTGCAATTCATCGTCTACATTTCAGGCACTGCTGAACATAGGCCTCCCCCATAGACAGCTAATAAGATGCTGTGAGATAAGTTACTAACGAACAAACTAACATACTTTCACAATAATGATATTCGCCCGTAGTAAAGATAATAGAATTATTTTGAATTCAATGTATTTTTTACTTGAACTAAGTTTAAAGAGCCCATATAATTACCGAGTTATTATTTGAATTGACTCTATTTCAGAAAGGTATTTACCGAGGGGATCGTTATGGGAGGCTTTTGAAATGGAAGGGGGAATGGGAAAGGATGAATTTCATGGAAATAATAATCCGTTATTTAAGTAAATATCTATTTTAATAATTACAATTTAAATGTACATTTATACAACATTATTTACAAGAGTATTTTAATAAAGACTTCAAAAGAATATTCTTTTTTGATTTCAGGATATTTATATAAATATCTTGTAGTAGGAATGTAAACAATATTTATTTTGCTGTAATAATTAAATCAACGTCTTTTATACGTAATAAACCGACTTTAAAAAAGGAGGCACTAAATTTGGTTACTTTTTTGTTTTTATATTCGTTACCTCCTTTATTACACAGATTGGTACTATGGAAATTTTATCGAAATCGCTTTAGTAGTTTTGAGACCAAAATAACTGGTTTTGTCATAAAAGAAATCTGTTTTTTTTTTGGGGGACCATAGTCTTTCATTGTTCAATAGCATAAAGATATTGTATTTATTATTAAAAATAGCAAGTTTATTTAGAATTAAACCGAGTATGTGATTTTAATTTATAATAAACAAAACATGTAGTGTGTTAATTACATTTCTAACCAACTCTCTGGTGATGGAAAACACTGTTACCAACCAAGGTAAAATCCTAAGAAGCATCAAATTCTACTATGCTCAAAAATATAGTATAGTCGAGTAAACGTGCCGTTCGAGCGATCTACTGTATGAAGAGTCGTGACTCATTAAGAGAGAAATTCAAAGAGGCAAATATTCTCACCGTTGCTTCTCAATTTATATATTCAAATATTCTATATGTTCATAAAAATCTTGACTTATTTCCAAAAAACAGCAATATTCATAATATTAATACTAGATTTAAAGACAAACTTGCTGTCCCCAAGTATCGTTTAGAAAAAGTTAATAGGTCTTTTATGGGAATAGGTATAAAAATTTACAATAAGATACCAAAGGATATGTTGGAATTACCCTTAAATAAATTCAAAACATCTGTTAAATCATATTTACTGAGCAAAGCCTATTACTCACTAAACGATTACTTGAATGACGAGTGTGCATGGCAATAGTTGTTCATGCACTGAATTTTCATTTAATGTTAGACATAGACACCTATATAAATATACATTGTAAATAAACTGGCTTTAAAAAAAAAAGTAATTCAATTGAGTTTCTTGCCAGTTCTTCTCAATTGGATCTATATACCGAACTGGACGGTAGGGTAAATATAAAATTATAATGTAAAAATTTGACGTTCATAAGCGGCTAAAATGTCCTACATGAATAAATGATTTTTGAATTTGAATTTGAATTTGTTATGTTTATTGTAATTGTTGATAAACGTCTCTAAGCACCCAATCAGGTACCGCAATCGTGTGTACTTGTCCGAGTCCTGAGATTAGGGTTGCCAACATTTTATCGGCTGATTATTATTTTTTTTTTATACAAATTATAATGGAAAATAAGCTGACGGCCCACCTGATGGAACGTGGTAACCGTCGTCCATAGACATGAGCAGTATCATGGACATAACAGAGTATACTGTTTCGCCCATGATACCCCCATGCGTTGCCGTTCAGGACTTAGATGTTATTCCTTTGTACTCTGTAAATTCACTGCCATATCCCACCCTTCAAACCGAAACACAGCCATGCAAACACAACTGTTTCACAGTACAAACAAGAATGTGACAGAAGTGCCCAAGCAAATGACTTTTGTACAAAGTCTCCCTCTGGCTGTATTATTTTACAAAATATGCACTAAAGGAAATATAGCATTTTTCGAAAAGATTTAAAAAACAATAGTATGTTTGTTACCTATAGGTATGTTTTTATAAAACCTACATTGTTTTGCACTTCTTGCGTCCTTTGACAATTTTTTGTTCATAAAAAAAGTATCAAACGCTTAGTCGCATTCAACATTTAAATTAATATATATCAGTAGATTATTCCTACATATGTTAGGATAGAGCGAGATACTTGCTTTGTTTCTTTCGTATTGCTTTTCAGATTCGTAATTAAAAATATCCTTTCTGTAAACTACTGAAATATGATATTATATTATATATTATAGTACGGTTGGCAACCCTACATGAGACTCGAATCTAATCATTTAATCATTTATTTTAATGAGTACTAAAAAACTCGAATTTCAAAAAGGCCATCTCGCAACCTAACTACTATAGACAAAGCTGTAGGCAAGTATTAACTCATAGCTTTGACATAAATAAAAGAAACAAAATCAGAAATCAGACAATGTATGTCCTGGAATCACAACCCAAAATATAAAAGCAGTATCGGGAAACTTTCCTAAATTGATCCTACCAGGAACTGAATCTATGAGGTTTCATTTAAAAGATATATTGCGTAACGCTTGTAGAGTGTATGCAGTTACCCCCAAATAAATCAGAAGAATTACATGGAAATGTTTAATTAAAATTTAAATATTTATTTATTCTATTAATAAAACTATCAGACAATATAGGTTTTTGTGTAATCGATGTGATTTTATCTCTCAAATGTGATAATGTTGATACTAAGTAAGTTTTTGGTGTCGATGATAGGAAATTGCTAGCTGTTGTGAATATAGGTAAAGGAGAAATCGTAACAGGCACGCTGTTTTTAATATTTGTATAAAGAGTAGGTTTCGTTGTACCTATTATGACTACATGTTCTGTCGTTTCATCGTACGGATTTGGAGTCGTCGATGGTGCTTTAATTTCGAAAGGCACTTGACTCTGATAGTCAACAGATGGCTGTACTGTGCTATAGATGTTTTTATTTAAAAATATGTCTTTTAACTCATCATAACTAGGTCTGACTGTAGTCGATGCACTATATTTCTTATAATCTGGAACTACAATAGGTTCGAAATTGTACGTTTTATTAAATTTACTTTGATAATCTATAGACGGCTGTACTGTACTGTAAATATTTTTATTCAAAAATAGTCCTTTCAACTCATCGAAACTAGGTCTGACCGTGGTTGGTGCGCTATATTTTTTATAATCAGGTACTACAATAGGTTCTAAATTGGAAACTTTGTCGTTATTGAAAGAGGCGTATTTACTTTTATGGGGTTCGTAATCATAGTTTTTGCTTTCGTATTCAGTTGAGAAATCATTATTGTAATAATCTTTCGAAGCGTCCGGATATTCATTGTAATAATCATTGGTGGGGGTTTTATATTTTTCATTGTCATCAACTTTATAATGTTCATTAATATAATTGTTACGATTAACATCATTAAAATTGTCATTATTTTTATAATTGTGACTATGTTTGTATTTATATTTATGACTGTATTTGTCGTTATGTTTATATTTGTTATTGTAATCGTCATTACTAATATCATGATTGTATTTATCATTATATACATTATTGTATTTATTATTATAATCTTGTTTATCATTATAATGATGGTCAACACCATTACCAACTGTTTTATCATCATCGTCGTATCGTACATCAGCTTTGTAGCCGTTTTCATCAGCTGTATATGAAACTATTTGCATTCTACCATCTGGGAGTCGTACCCTGTATTCTCCGTTAGTAGCCGAGCCTGAACTGTGCTGGGAATGTGAGAAGTCATCTCCTGTTTTTTGATCCTTCACGGTATAGGAAAAAGCATAGTTTTTTACCTGAAAAATATTAATTAATTGAGTATTAACTTTAACACTTACGCGTTGCGTCGATTATGGTTTGTAAGAAGCGGGAATTAATATGATTATATAGATGTTATGAATTTTTTTTTTACAACTCTGGGGGCTAACGAGCATGCGGCTCACCTGACGGTAAGTGATTACCGCCGCCCATGATAAATAAAATAATTTTAATGAAACAACCAGTGATATGGACTTTCGCAAGAAAACATCTAGTTCAGTTATAATCAAAGTTTACGATATAACTTTAGATATAATTACCGCATCTGAATTATCATGGTATTCATCGTCAGTGTCCCGATTTTTAAAGGAATAGTTCGGCTGTTTGACCTGAAATCATAGAAAGCGTTCACGTTCACTTTTTATTTTTATCCGAGCAATAAGTGCTTTATATTATTCCCAAATTCGTGTATAATATAAGTATATGTCATATATGTGTAAGTATATTTGTTATTCATATATATTTATTCGTTTATATATGTAATTTTAGTATGTATGTATATCAATAATTACTAGTACCCGCATTCGAGTATTCTGACACTTCCCTATGGTTGACTGGGAGAGAATGCTTTTATCATTAAATCCGCCATGTACACATATTTGTACTAATGAATAAATAAAATAAATAAATAATAAGGAATCATCATAATTATTTGAATCAATGAACCTTTTTTTTAATAAACCATAACACTTACATTGCTTGTAGCCTAAGTGCTTGTATCTGACCTTGATACGCCATTTACCTAGGGTCTATTTAATCGGTTCTTTTACTTATGAAATTTACGCGTACGAAGTAACAGGTAAAAGTTAGTAATCTAAAAAATTTTTACTGCTGAAAAGCTACAAAATTTTGATAGGATATTACGACTTTGCGACCTTATATTTCAAAAAGAGTTTAATATCTTCAAGGTCAGTATTTTTTTTTACAACTTAGAATGGCAAACAAGCTGACGGCCCACCTGATGGGAAGTGGTAACCGTCGCCTATAGACATGAGCAGTATCATGGACATAACAGAGTATACTGTTTCGCCCATGATGTCCCTCATGCGTTGCCATTCCTGAGGACTCAGGTGTTATTCCTCTGTACCCAGTAAATTCACGCCATATCCCACCCTTCAAACCGAAACACAGCCATGCAAACACAACTGCTTCACGGTAGAAACACGAATGGGACAGAGGTACCCAAGCAATCGACTTTTGTATTTGAATAGACTTTGGTCTCCCTCTGGTTCATGTATATATGTGGATGTAAAAAAAACCAAAAGTTTTGTGCTTCCGGTCAAACTGTTTAAAATTACTCTTCTCCATCTAAAGGTTGCCTGGAAGAGATCGCTTTTAGCGATAAGGCCGCCCATTGTTTTCTCATTGTGATTATTTCTTGTAATTGTTTATATTTATAATAAGTTAACTATTGTAATTATTTGGAGGTAACAATAAAGAGTATCTATCTATGTGAGTTTATTTACATCACAACTTCTAAATACTTGGACAGGTTTGTATGTATGGAATATTGTTAGAAACATAGAAACAGAGTCCTACAACCTTAATGGTTGCGTACTGCGCGGTTTCAGAGATGTTTCCTCCCGCGAACACTCAGGTTGTGGAATGAGCTCCCTGCCGATGTTTTCCCAAGAGACTACAGCATGGGATTCTTCAAAAGGGGGGTAAAGAGGTTTCTTCAGGGTCGGCAACGCGCGCGTAATACCCCTCGTATTGCAGGTGTTCATAGGCTACGGTAACCACTTACCATCAGGTGGACCGTATGCTTGTTTTCCACCAAAGTGATATAAAAAAAAATATTTATTATAGTGGATATAATTTTATTGATTTTTTTTTCATTTATGGATAAAAATACATTTGTTTACCTCGTGATGATATTGCTGCAACCTCGTTTTATGTTGTGTATCCAGCACTTTTTGCTGAGCATGATCTGATAAAACTTTATAAATTGGCGGTAGCGTGGGTTGACCCTGAAACAAGTATATATTGTTAGAGGCACACTTTATATATATATATATATACATTACTCAGCGAGCTATGGAGAAGGCTATGCTAAGGGGCCGCCTGAAAATCAGCGCTGTATAGGTACATCTCGCTGGAGCTGTACATATATAGCAACAGCTGAGGCGGCTCCAGCAACCAGCAAAATTAATTATTTTTTTTCTTTTCATTGTTGATTTTGATTGATTTTTTTTATTTTTATTACTAGTAATAAAGATTATCTATCTATCTATCTATGCTCGGAGTTTCTTTGCGTGAAAGTATCTGAAATGAGGATATCCGCGAAAGAACCAAAGTCACCGACATAGCCCGAAGGCTAAGCAAGCTGAAGTGGCAATGGGCTGGTCACATAGCTCGAAGAACTGACAACCGATAGGGAAGAAAGGTTCTTAAGTGGCTATGTCGGGGGGAAAGGGATTGTTAGGGATGGAGACTGAGAATCTCATTGCTAGCGATATACCCAACCAGGTCGACCTCCTCGCGGTTCTCCCTGGAAACTATCATGGTTAATTCCTGATGAATTCGTCATGATGGGCTAACCGGCCTGTATTCATTCTCATCGATCACTCTTCACTGGTGCTCCGCCAGCGTATCCCGTTAGCGCAGGCAGAATTATCATTCTATTTTCACCCATAAAAAAAAAGTGGCGATGTCGTACAAGCAAACGCAGTGTATTTAGTATACGATAGTGTAAGATGATTAATAAATAGAGTGACGATTTCAAATGCGTTGTAGGGAGTCACTGGATAACATACATGGCTTAGGCATGGCAGTTTTTTATGGCAGTCTATGGGGCAGACGTGTGTTCAACAGTGGACAGATAATGGCTGACGATGACGATGATACTTCATATACAAGGACCTTGATATCTTCCAACAATCTTTGCAATGTTACATTAAGGCTGCCAATTTGTTACTTTAAATTTATAGCCGTCATTCTTTTAATGTACATAATATCGAATGTTATGCAGAGCAGTTGTTGGAGTGCAAATTTAATGCTGTTTTATGTAATATTTATTTTATTAATGTATTAATTTATCGTGTATGTATTTATGTAATATTTTATTATATATTTTAATATTTTATTTAACTGTATATTTGTTTTTTGTTTTAATAGTTGTAGCACTTCAGCTGCCCGCTAACGAAATGCTTTCGCACTGTACTGGGTTGACTGGAAGAGATCTCTGTCAGAGATAAATCCACCCTTGTTCACAACAACAAGTGCAATAAAGAATATATAATATATAATAATTTGTAATCTGTTGCTTTGCTATAAATAAATAAATATACTGCAAATGCGTTTAAATTCACACAATGGTTAATATGATCTTATATATACACGTGTTAACCAAAAGTGGCTTTTCATTCCATCTTGAAGTAGGATGTTTTTTTTTTATAACACGGGGCAAAAGAGATCTGATGGTAAGTGACTACCGCCGCCCATGATCACCTACAACACCAGAGCTATTGCAGGTGTGCTGCTGGCATTTTAAAAAGGAATATGCTCTTTTCTTGAAGGTTATGTTGTCGTATCGGTTCGGAAATACTGCTGCTGGAAGTTGATTCCAAATAGTGGTTGTGCATGGAAGAAATTGCCTTGAAAAATACATACAGATAGTTGGGATGGATATTTTGTGGCGGGTTGTACGGTGGTAAAAATCAGCAGCGGGTATCAATCCGAACAATTCAGATTTTTTTATGTAATTTAGAATGGCAAACAAGCTGACGGCTCACCTGATGGAAAGTGCTAACCGTCGCCTATAGACATGAGCAGTACCATGGACATAAAAGAGTATACTATTTCGCCCATAATACCCCCCATGCCTTACCATTCAGGACTCAGATGTTATTCCTCTGTACCCTGTAAATTCACTGCCATATGCCACCATTCAAACCGAAACACAGCCATGCGAACACAACTGCTTCACGGTTGAAACACGAATGGGACAGAGGTGCACAAGCAAACGACATTTGTACAAAGTCTCCCTCTGGTGGGTATAATATTTAAATATGTTGAATAGATTAAATCAGACCCATTGCAACTTGAACATATAAACAGCTATTCATCAAAGCTACCGTCCAACAATACGTGCAAACGAAACACCTGTTTAGTAACAATGGAGGCATCATCAATCATAGAAGAAAGCATGGATGAAAAAAGAATAAACCGAATCGAGTTTAGTGGGCGGCGAATGAGTTTCGTATTTTCGACGAATATGTTACTCTTACATACATACGTACATACATATTACATACTTTACCAGAGTGAGACTTTGTACAAAAGTCGATTGCTTGGGTACCTCTACCCCATTCGTGTTTCAACCGTGAAGCAGTTGTGTTTGCATGGCTGTGTTTCGGTTTGAACGGTGGGATATAGCGTGAATTTACCGGGTACAGAGGAATAACACCCGAGTCCTCAGGAATGGCAACGCATGGGGGTTACCATGGGCGAAACGTGGGGTTCCCATTTCATTATTACCCATAAAAAAATAAACAAACTATTATAAAAAAAAAAAATTAAATCAAAGATGAAACGAAAATCGGAAACGCGAAAAATACTCACATTTAGACTTTTAATTTAGCGGACAAAATCTGTTCTCCTCTTTTTTGAAGTCGGTTAAATATCAACAGAAGTATACAAGATTCACAGTACAAACGGAACAGCCGCTGTATATTGGTTACGTATATAGTTCAATCAATGAAGACAAACTAAGTCCCAGGAATGCAAGCACAATGTACAAGGTACGACTCAGATAGTCTCTGTTGCACTCCACGATATCAGACGCAAGGAGGGACATGTGGATTTGTTATTTTATTAGACATTAATTTATAGTCAGGGAACTCGTGGTTTGAATGACGTTACATGATATTTTTAATAATTTTTTTTTTAATGGGTGATAATGGTATGGTAATCCCGTCTGCGCTATCGGTATACACTGGCGGTGTACCAGTGAGAGATGACAGATGAAGATGAAAGTAGGTCAGTTAGCCCATTCTGACGAATTAAACAAGAATTAGCCACGATGGTTTCCAGGAGGAACCACGTGGAGGTCGATCTGACAGGGTATATTGATAGTAATAGGGCTATTTGACCCCATTACTAACAATCCCTTTCCCCCCTTTTTTAATAATATTAAAAAAGAGAAAGTGTATTTGCCTGTTATATTTTTGCGGTTTAAGCAATATATTGGTCAATCAATATATATATTTTGAACCGGGTTCAAGAATAAAGTCTCGTCATAATATTACGATAATAAAGTGAGTTCGGTTCGGTTTGGTTATTACCTATTGAAGTCACAATGAAAATTAATGAAATAGTATTTAGGATATAGAAGGATATAGGAAATAGATATGTTTAGTAATCATCCACTCTGACTCGTCCGTTCGAGGCCTCTCACTCCCGCCACTCAGCACGTATAACACGTCGTCACTTTACATATAGTTTAAAAAAATAAATATTCAATAGTACTAAGTACCTTTGGACTTTACATCCACTACAACCTGCATACCATAGTAAGGTATATAAATACTATACAAGATATAAAAATAATTTATATTCAATAATAATAATAAAAAATATACAACATATAATTTAAGATTCCGTTTCACAAAAAAACCGACTTCAATTATGGCAAAACTAGTTATTTTGATTTAAAACGAAACTACCAAAACGATTTTGATAAAATTTCTATGCGAATTTTCTAAATCGGTTTACAACTGACGGAGTTAACAAGGAACCTGCTTTTTATAGAAGTCGGTTAAAAAGTAATTATGATTATGTCAAGTTGAGATGCTTAAACGGTTTTAGCGTAAATTTTTTTTTATACCACTGAAGTGGCAAACAAGCATACGGTCCAACTGATGGTAAGCGGTTACCGTAGCCTATGAACGCCTGCAACACCAGAGGTATTACGCGCGCGTTGCCGACTCTGAAGAAAACTCTTTACCCCCTTTTGAAGAACCCCATGCTGTAGTCTCTTGGGAAAACCTCGGCAGGGAGCTCATTCCATAACCTGAGTGTTCTTGGGAGGAAACATCTCTGAAACCGCGTTGCACGCGACCATTTAGGCTGTAGGTTATGAGGGTGAACTCCCTGTCGATGGCGAGTCGTACGATGATAGAATGTGGCCGTAGGCATAATAGTGAATAATTCCCCTGAGCACAATTCGTTGTACAAGCGGTAGAACACGCAGAGTGAGGCAAAATCTCTCCTAAGACTTAAGGGTTCGATACTGCTTGCAAGCCTGGGATACATAGACAAATGCATGGGTATAATACGTTATTTACATTGAGTATTTTTGAATATTTTTTATTTAATTTTGTTTTCTATAAAAATATTTATATGATTACTATTATTTATTTACAGTCAATAATGATATTTTCTTATATTATTGTCTATATTGTGAAAAGAATTTTCAAAAAAGTTTCAATATTGCCGGAAACATACCATAGGATTTAAGTCTGCTCAGTTCTTTGATTGCTCAACAGTCAGATATTGATATTTTTTATGACAAATTAGATTTTCTAAATGTTGTTTAAAATGTTTTAGTCTTTAATATAAATTTATTTTTTTTTAATAAAAAATTTATTCCTAAATAAAAAAATAAATAAAGTCCGCTACATTTGTACCATATTTTATTGGTCAATAAAGTTTAAATAAATAAATAGCGCGTACCATACACTCGTATTAGCTTGAATTGAAATTCTTGTGTTCAGACCTTGAACTATAGTACGTTAGTTCGAATATCGGATACATAAGATTTTTTTTATACAACTTTGAATGGCAAACAAGCTGACGGCCCACCTGATGGAAAGTGGTAACCGTCTCCTATAAACATGAGCAGTACCATGTACATAACAGAGTATACTGTTTCGCCCATAATACCCTCCAAACGTTGCCATTCCTGAGGATTCAGGTGTTATTCCTCTGTACCCTGTGAATTCACTGCCATATCCTACCCTTCAAAGCGAAATACAGCCCTGCAAAAACAACTACTTCACGGTAGAAACAAATGGGGCAGAGGTGCCCCTTTCCATCAGGCGGGCCGTCAGCTTGTTTGCCATTCTAAGTTCGTAAAAAAAAGTATAAAAAAATAAGAAAAAGACTCACCTGATAATTGTTATAGTTTTTGTCTCCATATTCGTTGATTTTCTTCAAAACATCATATGGTATGGAGCTGTCGTCGTAGGTAGCCGGCACTATGGTGGGTATGGGGAAATTATATGGTTTGTAATTCTTCTCCCTGGACAAGTATATGGGCTTGTAAATCCCCCGTATTTGGCTCTGTTCCGCTATGGAGTTATTCAGCTCGCTTCTGGCCAGTGACTCGATGAGGGGTCGTGACGTCACAATGAGGGGAGGCCGCGGTGGTGGAGGGCCATCGTTAGGGAACAGAATTGGCCCTTGTCTGGAAGTGAATATTACATTTTGAATGTGTTTATAAAAGGGGAGAAAAGAATTGTTAACGATTGCTAGCAATGTTAGTAATTAGGTCGACCTCCACTTCCTGCTGGAAACCATCGTGGTTACTTCCCGTGGAATTCTTCACAATGGGCTGTATGACCTGCTTTCATCCTCATCTATCATCTCTCACTGGTGCCCTGCCAGTGTATACCGTAAGCGCAGGCGGGATTACTATTTCATTCTCACCCATTTAAAAAAAATCTCATGCGATCTGTCGTGAAAGAACCGTGTCCCGATTTGGGCCATGGTGCGTCCATTTATGAATCGCATACTAACGGTTAGGGGTTCACGAGTACAGTCCCGGAAAATTGTTTAATTTTTCATTTTTGAGGTACCCAAGCAATCGACTTTTGTACAAAGTCTCCCTCTGATGCTCCTTTCCACTTTGTGAACACCTAACTCTCAAGCCCATTTAACAAGAGTTCTCTTCCAGCAACAGCTGGAAGGAACTCTTTTAGAGTTCAGTACGTCTTTATACATTTGATTACGTCTGTCACATTTCTATGCATTATTACATATCTATATTTTTTTTTTATTGGATGAAAATGGATTGGTAACCCCGCGCTAACGGGATACGCTGGCGGAGCACCAGTGAAGGGTGATCGATGAGAATGAAAATAGGCCAGTTAGCCTATCATGATGTATTCATCATGAAGAATTAATCATGACAGTTTCCAGGGGGAACCGCGTGGAGATCGACCTGGTTAGGTATATTGCTAGCAATGGGATTTTTAGTCTCCATTACTAACAATCCCTTTCCCCCCACGAAGCTATATTAAGAGTGTACAATAAGGTATTAAATGAATATAAAAATAATTGAATTTAATTACTAATATATATAATTTAAATTTTTTAAGGAGCAAGAACTTGTTAGTTTTTATGTCACAACACATTATGTCAGATGTAATGAGATTTTGTTAGACGCCTCGCGAGTCGCAGTAACTCAAAATTGCATTAACGCTCTCCAGTTAGTTGGGAACTTATATGTTGTTATGAGTGGTCCGGACTTCCTATTGGTTATCAGTTATTGGAGTTATGTTTAATATTAGTAAACTTTTGGAGTAGAATTCCAAGTATTTACTATATATTGGTAGATGGAATGAGGCGTAAACTGTTATATATTGCATATATATATATATGTATCAATCGTGAAGCAGTTGTGTTTGCATGGCTGTGTTTCGGTTTGAAAGGTGGGATACGTGAATTTACTGGGTACAGAGGAATAACACCTGAGTCCTCAGGAATGGCAACGCATGGGGAGTGTCATGGGTGTAACAGTATACTCTGTTATGTGCATGGTACTGCTCATGTCTATAGGCGACGGTTGCCACTTTCTATCAGGTGGGCCGTCAGCTTGTTTGCCATTCTAAGTTGTATAAAAAAAAACTTATAATAAATCTGTAGAGAGGTCAATTCTGTACATGAAATATATTAACAAAATAACTATTAGGGGGTGATTAGTGATCAATGCTGATGCCAAAAATGCAAACAGTAAAATTTTTGTCTGTCTCTCTGTATGTTCGTTATAGAAACAAAAACTACTCGACTGATTTTAACGATACTTGGTACAATTATTCTTCACACTCCTGGGCAGGTTATAGTATACTTTTCATCACGCTACGATCAATAGGAGCAGAGCAGTGAAGGGAAATGTTAAAAATGTCCATCCGTGCGACGCCGGGACGGGCCGTTAGTATATAATAAAATCGTAACTGGTCACTGTCTGTAAATGGAAGATACACGTATGTAAGGGAAACTATTATAGGGGGGCTTTATGAACGCAATGAAACCCGAAACAAATGATAACGCAGGCGGTGTTACCATTCCATTATCATTAAATTTTTTTTTTTTTTATCTGACTACCTCAATAGTGATTTATGTGTGTGTGCGAACGTGCGTGTGTGTGTGTGCATGCGTGTCTCTCTCTCTCTTTCTCTCTCTCTCTCTGTGTTTGTATGATTATATTTTTTTACTGGCCTAATTTCGTTCCACTCTGTAAAGAACTCGGCGTAAAGATAAAAGCATTTTTTTTTACAAATACCTCTAAGTAAGCATTTCAAAATTAAATTGTACAATACTGTACCGATGTTCTTCGCTTAAAAGCACTTAGCACAGTTAAATTTAACTATCCGTTGCCATCTGGAATACCAGTAATATTGATTTTGCATTAGTAGTATTGCTGCTTGTTAATGGATTACCGGCCATCTTAGGAGCTATCCACACGATTCACGATTGAAAATGTATTGATAAAAAATATATTTATATAAATAATAATTCAAAATTGTGTTTCAGAAAAAAAAACGAATGACCTTAAAAGTAAATTACGGAATCGTTTTTGAGTATATCCTTTTAGATAAAAAAAATAATTTTCCAAATCGGGAAAAAAACACTTATCAGAGGGAGACTTTGTACAAAAGTAATTTGCTTGGGCATCTCTGTTCCATTCGTGTTTCTACCGTGAAGCAGTTGTGTTTGCATGGCTGTGTTTCGGTTTAAAGGGTGGGAATTTACAGTGTACAGAGGAAAAACACCTGAATCCTCAGGAATGGCAACGCATGGGGGGTTATCATGGGCGAAACAGTATACTCTGTTATGTGCATGGTACTACTCATGTCTATAGGCGACGATTACCACTTTCCATCAGGTGGGCCGTCAGCTTGTAAACTGTAGCCTAATATGTCTATGGAATAAATACGATTTCTGTTAAAATTCTGGTACAGAAATCTGGTATAGATATTTATTGGATTTTATTTATTGTCAATTGAACAAGTAGATTTTGCTCTAAAAAAAATTAATAATAAAATATGTTAAAGTGAATGCTGTGAATACCTATAATAGGCGTGTGCATTAATATTGTATTGTATTTAATGTTTGTTATACCTTTTATATGTTATAATGCAATATGCTGTTGGTGTTCCTTAAATAAATAAATAAATAAATAAACACCGACATCAATCAAAATTGCCAAATTACTATTTCGGTCTAAATATCAAATTATTGAATTAATTTTTATAAAGTTTCTGCGAGACCAATTTGAAAGTACATATATTCTGTCAAATAAAAAAAAATAATTTCAAATCTAGTTAATTTTAAACCTTCTCGTTGTTTGCACATATGTATGTATTTTAAATATACTATCGGGACTTATAATAATGATTATTTTTATTTTTTTTTTCGTAATTTTTTGGTCCATTAAATATTTATTAGTAACAATATTCTTAAAACTAATGTTAGTAAATTTACATACACAACACACACACACACACACACACACACACACACACACACACGCACATAATATATTAAATAATATACAGATAATCACCGCTATACAATTCCATTGGAAATTGCGCAGTAGTGATTAACGTACACACAGTCCAGCCTCAACCATCATGCTCAAAGCGATGTAAATTTTTTTTGCAGGTACCTACATACCTGCTTCTTTATTGCGTAATTTGAAATCTTTTTAAAAATCGCGAAGTTTCGAGGTAACGTACTTAAAAAAAAAAAACTGAATCGAGAAGTTCATTCAAATTTACTGTATTTTTTATTTTTATAATCACCGCAATAAAGTGTAAATAAATAAACCTTCTTTTTTGAAGTCGGTTAAAACTCGTGTGCACTATTCCTAAAGCTAATAAGTAGGTACTTACTTCGTTGGGTCGGGCGCTTTCAACGCCTGCAAGTATCCAGTGTTGTAAGCGTGATGGTTGAAGTTCCTTGGACCGAGGAGACTGGCTGGGGTGGACACTTCCTCGCCGCTCACGCTTGACACGAAGAGTAATAGCAGCAAAGCCATGATCTGAACCAGATGATGCTATGCTGTGAAACAAATGTCGTTATTATGTTTTTTATAGGTGAAAATGGAATGGTAACCTTGCCTGCGCTATCGGTATACGCTGGCAGGGTGCCAGTATGAGAGTTAGTCCATCGTGACAAATTCAAGAAGAATTAACCAATATGGTTTCCAGGGGGAACTGCGTGGAGTGGCGTGGAGTTGACAGGGATATATATATATATATATATATATATATATATATATACTAACTCTCATACTGGCACCCTGCCAGCGTATATATATATATATATATATATATATATATATATATATATATATATATATATATATATATATATATATATATATATATATATAAAATTTTCTAATTTAGTTTTACAAGTGCCACAATTAAAATAAAATCTAATACAAATATAATTCTTTTTTTTTTACAAAATTCCTTAAATACTAATAACAATTAAAAGTAATCTCCCAACGCACCACACCGAGGCAGCGTACCCAAGATACTGGCAGCATTACCTCTTTGGATTGCCAAACTTATCTTTTGGGCAAAGTAGCTACCAGCTCTTGGGTCACCAGTAACCTCGATGAGGCGCGCTGCGATCGTCCGATAAAAATTCTTTGCATCTGGGCCCCACGGGCCCATCGTCTCTACAGCAAATGGCAGAAAACAATAAGACCCCTCCAGATGTGAGTATTTACGCCTCTTTATTGCTTCCGCTGTCACCGCCGCAGCACCCGAACAAGAGGACGATTTAGATAAATGGCTTGGAGCTAACGTGTCTACACACGTCGCATCCCACACCAAGCATTTCCCCATTTTCCAAGGAACCAAAGTTACGCCATCAGGTCGTTTCCCATCCTCACGGAAAATGCCATTTGGTTCCAAAATCTATTTGTGTCATCACAAGTGCCCTATGAATAATGTTATTGATCATGGCATGGCGAGGTATTCGACCTGCACTTCTCACACAGGACAGACCATGGTATCCCAGCTCTTCAACTGAGGCTCCACAGCTACAACGATGGGGCTGAACTATTTTATATTATATTATATTATATTATATTTTATTTTATATTATATATATATATATATATATATATATATATATATATATACATACATATATCATCATATCAGCCTTTAACTGTCCACTGCTGAACATAAGTCTCCCCCTTGGGGGATTTTCCAGTAGTTGCTACGCTTGGCAAGCAGATTGGCAACCACAGTTAAGCTTTAGAAATGTTTTAAGAGGGACGCTGGTGTCCATCCTTCGCTCTCCTTTAGTCGACTCTTACGACACCTATGGGAAAGGAAGGGATGGCGAATTCTAAGCTGAGACCATACAGCCACATACAATAGTTAGTTCAGTTAAAACTCGAAAACGTTATATTACAGATGTGGTTAAAAGAAAAAAAAAGTTTGAAAAATATCTTGAGAAATTATCTTCGTCTCCTACAAACAGACAAACCAAAATTAAAAAAAAAAAAACGGGAAGTGTCTATTTCACTTCTAACATCCGCCTGACTTGAAAGAAAGAAAGAAAGAAACTTTATTGTATTGAAATATACGACTACACCCACACAGGGGTTGAAAAAATTAATTAAGAATTATAACAACGAAACTACACACAATATTTATATATATATAAAAAAGAGGGAGACTAGAGTATAAAAGTCGATTGCTTGGGTACCTCTGTCCCATTCGTGTTTCAACCGTGAAGCAGTTGTGTTTACATGGCTGTATTTCGGTATGAAGGGTGGGATATGGCGTGAATTTACAGGGTACAGAAGAATAACATCTGAGTCTTCAGGAATGCCAACGCATGGGGGTTATCATGGGCGAAACAGTATACTCTGTTATGTCCATGGTACTGCTCATGTCTATAGGCGACGGTTACCACTTTTCATCAGATGGGCCGTCAGCTTGTTTGCCATTCTAAGTTATATATATATATATATATATATATATATATATATATATATATATATATATATATATAAAAGAATATAAAATTAAAAAAAGAAAAAAAAATCGTATAGTAATAGTTTCATCTAAACTGAGTGTGTGTGTGTGCGTGCGTCGCAATACCTGCAAAATGAGGTGCGTGCTCAGCATTATGCTGTAGTGTCAGGGACACTAATGCAATCTAAACTGTGGGGTAAATGTATTGTTCCCATCATCTGCCGACACTTTCAACCATATTATTAAGTTAATAAAGTAAATAACGATCTTTATTATGACAGTAGTTGTTGAAATTTAGCTGTACATGACATTGTGGGATATTTTTAATTTACCCATTCATTTAACAACCCATTGTAGTCCCACCACTGGGCATAGGTCTCTTTTAACAGGAGGATATTATTCAAATGGATAATAATAGGTGTCATTACTCTAAGACAGTGGGGGAAAAGGGAATGTTTGTAATGGAGACAGAATTCCATTGCTAGCAATATACCCAACCAGGTCGACCTCCTCGCGGTTCTCCCTGGAAACTATCATGGTTAATTCCTGATGAATTCATCATGATGGGCTAACTGGCCTGTTTTCATTCTCATCTATCACCCTTCACTGGTGCTCTGCCAGCGTATCCCCTTAGCGCAGGCAGGGTTACCATACCATTTTCACCCATCAAAAAAAAAAAACTCTAAGACAGTAGTTTTCAAAGTGTGGGTCGTGAATCCTAGCGGGTCCTCAAGTCACTACAATGTTGGTCGCGGAAGGAGCGAAGTCGTAAAAAATAACAGTTTAGCAATGTAATTTAAGTCTGTCTTGAGTACTTCATTACGCATTTTTTTTACTATTAACAAGTATACGGCTCGTCTGATGAGAGACAAGGTTATAGTAGTCTATGGACGCCTGTAATATCAGGAATATCACGTACGCGTTGCCGACCTTTAACAAATATTAATACGTCCTTTTTGAAGAACGCCATGCTGTAGTCTCTAAGTAAAGCCTCGGTCATTCCACAACCTGAGTGGTCGCGAGAGGAAGTTTCTCTGAAACCGTACTGTGCGCGGCCATTTTGATTCTAAGGTGAGGATGGATTTATTGTATTTAACGGATATCTATATCTAACTATAAATATATCGCCGCGTTTGCCACGGCATAGTATGGGCCACCCCTTTTTTTTACAATACAGGGGGCAAACGAGCATGCGGTTCACCTGATTGTAAGTGACTACCGCCGCCCATGGTCACCCATAACACCAACGGCATTGCAGGTGTGCTGCCGGCCTTTTAAAAAGGAACATGCTCTTTTCGGTTCGGAAATACTGCTGCTGGAAGTTGAAACCCCTTCCTTTCATGTGAGTGTTGTAAGGGGTGACCAAGGGAGGGCGAGGGATGGGCAGCAGTATTCCTCTTAAAATATCTCTAGAAGCCTAACTGCGGTTGCTAACTTGCCTGCCAAGCGTGGCAACTACTGGCAAAACTCTCCTTACGGGGAAGGCCTATGCTCAGCAGTGGACAGTTAACGGCTGAGAAAAATTATAATAATAATAATTATGAATACAAATAAAAATGTATGGAATTGAAATTTTTAATACCTACAATAAAATGCATATAGGTTAGAATCCGTGGAGATTAGGGGGTCGCAAAATATTTTTACATACTAAGAGGGTCGCGTCATGAAAAAGTTTGAAAAACACTGCTTTGAAACCTATCTCGTAATCTAATAATTTAATTTGATAGTTTCGCGTATTTACTGTTTTATGAACTTTTTGGTTTTATTGCGTTCATAAAGCTCCCCTATAATAGTTTTTTATATATATCATATATAAAAAACGATTATATAAACTATCATATATAATACCAGAAGGAGACTTTGTACAAAAGTTGATTGCTTGGGTACCTCTGTCCCATTCGTGTTTCAACCGTGAAGCAGTTGTGTTTACATGGCTGTATTTCGGTATGAAGGGTGGGATATGGCGTGAATTTACAGGGTACAGAAGAATAACATCTGAGTCTTCAGGAATGGCAACGCATGGGGGGTATCATGGGCGAAACAGTATACTCTGTTATGTCCATGGTACTGCTCATGTCTATAGGCAACGGTTATCACTTTCCATCAGGTGGACCGTCAGCTTGTTTGCCATTCTAAGTTGTATAAAAAAAATATCTTCCATGTACAGACAACGACTAGTTACGATTTTTTTTATATGTATTGATAACCATTGCGTTACAAACTATAGAAAGTCGATACTATGCTTGTAAAATATATTATAATAAGTGGAAATGAAATCATGTACTTACATAATTTATTCGAATAGAAACTTGCAATTGTGCATTTCCAAATAACTAAATACTCATTTTTAACAAAGCACGGTCGCCATTTTGATTAACAACGTGCAGAAATGTATGTTGACATTTCTGGCCGAAAGGAAACAATAAATAAAAAAGTTAATAAAAAAAAACACACACACACACACACACACGCATACATTGCACAACACAATACGCTATTTATTATCTGTGTTGCATCATAGTGCCGTGCGAATATGTCCCGCCATATTGCCGGTTGCTATAGCAACGCATTGTTTCCCGCCATTCCGTGGGAAAACCATGGGATTTGCATAGAAACCTAGATATGGGAAGGTGGTGTCCGCTTTTGGCATTGCCTAAAAGGGTCTTTGTTAAGAATTGCATTGTCGCGACCTTCTGTCAAATTTTCAACCGACTTTGAAAATGTGGAATTAGTTAAATTTGAAGAGAACAAACTCTTTGTGTATATTACATAATATATTTCATTAATTTGAACCGATTTCCAACCTAACCGGATGTCGGTTCTTCGAATCGATGGGGAAAAAAGGTTCTTGAGTGCCGATCCCGTAAGGGCAAACGCAATGTAGGACGATCACTCACTAGATGGCGTGGCGACCTCATGATAATTAAAATATATAATAAATTACCTAAACAATACAGATACAGAATACAGATCTCTATCTGACAGATAAAAAATTAATGAAAATCTTTTTAATTTTTTTTATACAACTTAGAATGGCAAACAAAC